TTTTAGTCAATTTTTGATAGTTATAGGTACCAAATTGTTTATTTATTTATTTTTAATTGTACTAATTGAGTTTTTATATAGAAATGTATATTGAAAATAAGAAGATGATTAAAAGAACTATACATTATTTAAAGTTAAAAAAAAATGTGTTACCTATCTGTCACCAATTGTGATTGTCACCAGAGCCAATGATAGTGACTAAAAAAATATTCCCACTTCAAACACCCAGTTTAAAATCCTCGAGAATCAAGCATGTCGGGTTAAACATTGTTTTCTTCTCTATATGCAACATTTTGAAAAAGTGACCAAATGCCCAAATTTAATAAGACGCCCACGAATTCGATAAAGTTGTGGAAAGTATAATTAATATTTTCCAGTCAACGGAAACGTTTCAGGGACCCTTTACCCTACCGCCATCTATTGGAATTTAATGCACACGCGAAACCACCCTTTATTTCGGTGTACACATTCTATTGATCCGGCACAATTTGATGTCCGTATAATAAGTACCTACCACAAGGACCACTCCAATGGATTGTTTTGTTGATAAACCAAACGTTATCACATATCGTGTTGTATAGATAGTATTATATAATCACAATCACATTTCTACGGATTCCTACTGCAAAGTATTGGTACGTATGATACATTCATAATAATATACAATATAAAATCATTAAATGCTTTTAAATAGTACCCAACAATAATGGTTTATGCCCCTGGATACGTAGGTATAATGCATATTTTTTATCTAGAGCCCATCATATCATTCCCATCGTCCTGCCTTTTAGGGCCGGTTTTTTTTTAGGGTGTGTACCTTTAGAGGGTGTCGAACCGTGTTTGTCCCTGTCAGTATTTTTTTTCCAATTGATACGATTTTAGATAAACATTATTGTTTACCATGAACTAAGATATATAATATTATATATCTTAGTTCATGCTGTATGCCTACTATATGGATGTCCACAAATCACAAATATTATAATGTTCATTATGCAAGTTTTTGGATTATTAGAAATAAATAGTTATTCAAATGTTTTAAATGAGTATTTTATATAGTAGGTACACCTATAACACTTTAGTTTTAATAGTTTTCTAGTTGCAACGACGTGCATGCGAACGTTTCCATTGATTTCAAATGAAAACGTTTTATAGCTCTGCACGTCATCATGACTAAAATCTGTCAGCTGTATGTATAATAAATAATAATAAATGATTTTAAAACCTGTCGTGCTATTACAATAGTATGTGTGCCGTGGCGTGTACATTCGAAACCGACTATTGTTCAACAACCCTTTTGTGTAGGTACCTACCTACCCTACGACCGATCGTCGAACATATTGCAAAACAGTTCAACCCTATATATTATAATGCGGAGAATAATATATATATATATATATTATATATTATTATATTATGATTATAATCTCACTTATGGTCTTTAATGCGGATCACTCGCGAAATCATACAGGTATTTGATTACACATCCTCGGTGACATAACATAATATTATATGTACTTAAATATAAATGTAAATATGTAAGCTCATCCCGTCAACACTGAGTGTTTTAATGTTTTATATTATACGCTTACCAATAATTCTCTTGATAATCTACATAGGAATATACATTTTTGAAAAAATAATATTTATTTTAAATATGAAGAATATCTGATACACAAATGGAAAATCCAGAAGCTTATCGATTTAGGTAAAATATTAAACACTCAAACCCGTCGTAAATCAATATATTATTATCAACTGCATGCGGTCTACAAATTACAATGCAAAACGAGTATTGTCTATCGTAAAAAAGACAAATCAACTCGTGTGTAGGGATGTAGATATTGTCGCAAAAATAATATAACTTATAAGTACTAGGTATATTCTGTACAATCAATGATGTAATATTGTAATCTATATATTTGTCTATAGATATCATGGTACTCATATACAGTGTGATTCACCATGCATGTTTATGCTGGGGGTCCCCTTCCCCATTTTTGTTTAATAATGGATTTATTCAAATTCTGATATTTTGGAACTTTTAGACATACTCCATATTTTTAAATACTTGAAATTTTTATAACATTTAAGAAGCGTCTTGTGGCGATACTAACTACTGAATGTCAATAAAATTTTATTTTTTAGGTAAAAAAGATTGACAATTTAATACAAGGCTCTATATATATTGTTACAATGAAATATGAAAAATATTAAAAATCACAATTTTTTTTATAAGCATTTAAGCTTAAATTTTGACAAAAGGCGTAAAAATCACGAAAATATGCAAGTTATTTTAAGTTAGAAATTCATAAATTTTTTTATTTTTTAATCTAAATTTTTAAAATATAATACAAGATTCCTCATGAGTGTGTCTACGTTTATAAAAAAAAAAAAAGGCCATAAGAAAGTCAAATTAAATTTTTATGAGCTTTTGAAGTTGGATCATTGTTTCATGAAATTTTTACAACCTTAGATATCCACTCGATTTCTCAAGTAGCTATTTTCTTATTTTGTTGTAATTCAAAAATGAATAACCGTAGACATTTTAAATTTATATCATATGTTTATTTTATCAATTCCTATACTTAATATCTAAAATTTTCAAAATATTTTGTCTGTTTTCGAGCTGTTTACGGACATTCTCAATTTTCAATTTTTAAGTTTTTTTTTTCTATAAATGTTATTAAAATTGTATTTGTTGGGTAAAAAGAGGGAAAATTTAATACAATGTTCCAGATATATTTTTACAAAAGCAGTCGAAAAATATTGAAAATACATAGGACAAATTTTATTTTATAAGCATTTTATATCGAATTTTGACCAAAAATTTATCAAATTTAAAATTAAATAATTATTTTTTAGTTAAAAATTTATAAAATATTCAACTTTTATAGCTAAGGATTGAAAATTTAAAACAAGGTTCCACGTATGTAGGTTATTCTGTAACCAAAAAATCTCAATAATATAAATACACAGTTTTTATAGTTATTTTATGTTCAAATTTGGACGAACTTACATATTAAATAACCAAGAATTACGAGTTTAGTTATTTTGTTGTAATTTTATATAATATCAATCATCAATTGAACTTAGCCGGCATCCGTATTAGGTGCCTAATAATAAGTAATAACGATATAAATATAATATATTTATAAATATCCACACTGACAAACCGTCTCCGCTCAGAATCGTTTTTCGTATACAATGATGTTATATCATAGAATTCAAATTTCATACCATCCATTATACAGTGACCCACTTGTACAGCAGAGCACCTTTTTTTACTTAACCTATGTTTATACTTGGTACGTTAGAGTGTACATATGTAGTAGTTTTACTACAGACTAGGTATTGTTCAACATTTTATCCACGTCTCCCTTATACTTTTATAAGATTAGGTATAGGTGCGTATATTTTATTTTGTTTTATAAACTATACCCACCATTGGATGATGATTATCAGTGACCCTTATAACCTACTGTACAGAAGAGTGACATCCACCTGCCCACATTTTTTTTTCTTCAAATGAATATCATCCTTGTTCAGTTATTCCCTGTACATTTTTAGTCAGATGACTATTTTTAAAATGTTGATGTATCAAAATCGAAATTTGAACGTTAGTTTCTTTAGCAAAGTGTTATTTTACTTTGTATAATATATAGATATTAATAACTACTATAATTCCTAAGGATAATAAGTCCGCGTGATAATGGGTTTGGAACTTCGGATGATATGGATATGATGATTTGAAAAGACAGTTTTCTTTCATATACCTACCTATTTGTAAAATCATTTTTAAGGACCATCTATCATCTTTATTAGTATAAAAGCATTAACAAATCAGAGACTACTTGTTCAAATTTTGATTTAGATGTATCTACATTTTCAAAAGAATCATCTGTTAGATAATTTACAGTAAAAAAGATTAGTTTTCATTTGCAAAACATAAATTTGAAACGTCACATGACATTTTATTTACATTAAATGGTATAAAAATCTAAATAATTGGAAATACGGTCCATACATAAAGTTCCAAACATCAGAATTTAACTCCAATACTCTTAAACTCATTATTTAAGAAAAATGGGAAAGAATATGTTTGTTTTATCATCCTTTAGTGCAGTATAGATCAGTAATCCATCATTATCCATGGACCACGCTTGAGTCGTAAATACATCTACATATTTGTGTCATAATTATAAAGGTACGATATTAAAAAAAAAAACTTAATTTTATTTGTTAAATACATAAATATAATGTTATAATATTACCTATATCGCACCCAAAAATCTGTTAAATATTGTTTATTTGATAACAAAAGTGAGTTAAACGCAATATTATTAGATACAGACTTACATATTAGCCGTCAGTTTTTTCTGTTAAACTCGTATTACCTGGAATCTAGATCATAATATATAATAGACAACACGCCAACATTTACATAATATTATATACGCCACACAAGAATAATACAGATCAATATATTATATTATAATAGTAATAAGCCCGAATACACGGAAAGAGTGGTATAGAGTGGTGGGTATAGTATATAGTGTTAGAGTGATGGTGGCCGGAGGGTAAAAGGGTTTTTTCCTCAAAGTGCAGGCAGGACATAGGCCCCCGCCGATTATTGGATTTAACGTTGTCGTCATCGACGCCACTGGAGACGAGTGGTGATCGGACCACGCTGGGTTCACGTCGGCCGTGAAATAACCGTGGTGAGTAAATCGAATTTGCAGATCGCTGGCTCGCGTACGTGCGGGGCGCGGTGGGCAAGGCCGAGGTGCAGCGCATCTGTCGCGCGCGAAAACATTATTCCGTTAAGCGGATAATGAAATGAAATAAAATAGGAATAAAAGTAAAAAAAAAAAAAAAAATGCCCCGTCGTATGCACACAGGAAGAGGAGATATAGACTATAGACGACGAGGACGAGGAGTCGGTGGAGGCGGGGGCCAAGGGATAAACTCGCACTATATATTTTATTATAATATATAACATGAGAGGAGTGGTGCTGGCCGAACTGTTGCTGCTGGGCATCGCCGTCGGGTTCCAGCGGGGTCCTCACCATCCGAGGGCCGCCGTGTCTGGCGAACCGAGAATCGAAAGCCACCATCGCGAGCACCAACACCCCAAGCCCATGGGCGACACGAAGTTCACTCAAGACAAACCGATACTGCACGACAAGAGGTCAGTGACTATACGAGTGGAAAATATATCATACTTATTACGATATGTACGACACAATATGATAGATATAGTAATGTACATAGGTGCCCATACACAATAATAATAATAACAGTTCCAATAATAGTGATCAAAAATTCATGTTTTGTAACGAGTGTGCGATCCACCTTCCATTTCCCACAATCATGATTCATATCCACTTAACTTTTTTTTTGCCGGCATAATTATAATACTTTAAAACAAATATATAATAATTAACAAACATAATATAAAAAAAATCCACAGTCATTTTCAAACGCGCCGGGAAAAACAAAACAAAATAAGGAAAAAGGGAATTTTTAAATTTTAAATAATTATTTCGCAGCAAAAAATGTAGAAAATGTTCAACTTTTATTGCTAAGGATTGAAAATTTAAAACAAGGTTCCACTTAACTACTTAAGTTATGTATAGGTAAATTACTTTATTCACAATAATATCATCAAATATACTTGATAATATTATAATAAGCTGTCTGACAGTATTCGCTCGGAATCGTTTTTCTTATTCAATAATATTATTATATCATTGAATTCAAATTTAACACCATCTATTACAGCAGGGGTCGGCAACCCGCGGCCCGTGTAGCGATTTTATGATACCCGCGATTACAATTTATAATTGGTATACAAATATATAGAATATCACATTATGTCAGTTGATAATGTTAATAATAAATTAATTATATACCAAACAACGGCAAAACTTAAGGGGCCTGCACGCGACCTGTTTTTTTGCTCAAAAACATGCCTTACAGGAAAAACTCTCACGCCTCGTAGATTGGTCCGATTTCCGTAATTTTTTTTTTGTTAGATAGAGGAAGACTTCTTACAGGGCGCATTGGACTTGGATTTTCAAAACTATTTTTCTAAGTCTGATGTTACAAGTTTGAATTTAATCAATTTTTACAACTTTTTAGTTTTTGTATTATTTTTTATTTTTAGCGACGTAATCAAAAATCGAAGTCCAATGCGCCCTGTAAAAAATATTCCTCTATCTAACAAAAAAAAAAAATACGGAAATCGGACCAATCTACGAGGTGTGAGAGTTTTTCCTGTTGTTAAGAACCCCTGGCTAATTTAGTTAGTATATATATATAATAGTGTATAAGATAGTATTGTACGACGGCGACTGTCTGGAATTGCTGCGACAGCAATTCCAGGCAAGCGCTGGCTACAGGCACGGCTCGTATAGCAAGCCGTGCCAGTGGCATTTCAGAGCAGTAGACGGAACCTTGTAATTCGCGCCAGAGCATTATTATTGTCAGACCATTTTTTTATTTAAGTGTATTGTAAGTTTTTTTTCTTTTCAAGTAATATAGAAAGTAACAGATAGTTCGAAAGTGTTCGTTGTTTTATTTGTGCACGGACCTCCAAGGAGATCCGTAACATTTTTGGTGGCAGCGGTGGGATCACGACAAATATCAGTATCCCGTTACCACGAGCAATAGCCGAACTAGACTTTCAACAATATATTAGAAGAAAAGGAAACGAACAAAAGCGTATCCATCCGAAACAGAACATTGTACACAAAGTTGCGTAAGGTAACATTAATAGTATAAGATATTATTATTCTATAATATTTTATATATTTTATATACATCTATATGGTGTGTATATATACATGCAAACGGTTGCGTGTGAACGTGTCTCTATAAACGCGCGATCAGCAAATTCCCGGCGTGGTGTAATACATACATACGCCGTCGAAGAAAAAAAAAAAATTTTGACGACAGGCAGCCGCCGTGTGTGTGTGGGCCCGGCGTACGTGTTGCCGCCGCCGTCGTGGTTGTGACGACATCCGTGTCGCCGCCGCCGACGTTTGAAAACAGACGACAACACAGCTGTTACGATAATACGATATCAGAGCCGCCGCGCGCCGCCCTCGTTGTTTATAAACACGATAGCGCCGCCGTAACGAATTTATATCAAAATATAACGATATATTTACGTTATTTAATCATCGAAGCGAAACCCAATAATTAATCATTGGTCCCCGCGCCAGCAGTTTCGGGGCGTAGAACATCGTTCCGAAGTGGTTAAGGTGTCGAAGAGGAAATTCGACGTGTTATTGTTCCGAGATCAATTCGACGTCATATACCAGAGCATTCAGCACCAATCACAACGACCAGGCGCAGACGAACACTGAACATTTCAATTCATTATCGTCGAACAATTGTGGTGGTCGTGAGTATTTAGCATTAAGTTTTCAGCTCTGTTTATATTTAAATATTTTTTTTTACAAACATAGGATAATAAATTAGTATACACCATATATAAACATAAACCTATGGTAGGGAAAAAGTCTTTCTTTGTAAACACATGTTTCTCAGTGTTTTATTATACCGAATTTTTTTTTTTTTTAAATATCTCTTTACGATTGGGAATAAACCTTTTATGAAACTCTTAGGCAAACTTTAATGAGCGCAAATTCGGGGGAGGATTCAACCACCAAGGGGGCTAACACGTCCGTTACTGATACCCCTACCCCTACACCAAGAGTAAGTTTACCTGTAAGGTGCTCCAATCCCGACAATCCAAATTCCGAGCGTCTAATACACGAACTTTCCGTCGACCATTTACTAATTAAGGAAGCGGATTTGACTGTAGCCACAAATAGTCTTTTAGCCGAAGTTAACGAAGAACTTAGGGACATCGACAAAAGTTTAATTCACGTCGCCCTCGAAACCATTTCAACAGAAAATTCAGAAAATCCCCAAAACACAAAAATTCTACAGACCAATCAAGAGAAACTTTTGGACTGGTCTTCAAATGACACAGTTGAATCGACAAACCAAGGAATTAAGCTTCTCGTAAATCAAAAACCATTGGAAATAATGGGAGATAAAAATCAACCAACAGGGAGTGGTGTACTAGGACCACAGTTGACCACAGACATTTCAAATAATCCAGATTTAAGCCAATTAATTGATCTAAAGATTCAGGAAATCATGAGGACAAGAGATAGCGCCAGTTCGAGACATGGAGATTCGATATCTAATAATCAAATCGGACTTCAGGATGCGATTAGGCTATTACCAAAGTCATTCGATGGAAAAGACACCGAAAATTTAGAGATTTTCCTTGAAAAATGCGAATTTGTTGTGTCATGTGTAGTGGAACCGGCAATTCCACGACTGCTTCAGGCAATCCAAACCAGGTTAACCGGGAAAGCGAGGCAGGTAACAAAGTTTAAAACATTCGACACATGGGAAGAATTACGGGAAACACTTAAAACAAGTCTAGAACCCCAGCGAACCACACAACATCTATTTTTAGAATTGTACGCCATCAAACAAAAAAATGGTGAAGATATTCTGACCTACTCCATGAGAGTAGAAGCTTTACAAAATCTTATCATTGAACAGGAAACTGCAGACTTTTCACCAGAAATTGCCCAAGCGATGGAAATTTCTATTAAGAGACAGGTAATTCAAGTCTTTATGGAAGGCTTGGGGAACCTAAAGGACTACATTAAGGCCAGAAACCCACTAACCTTAGATAAGGCCATACAAGCCGCCCGAGAGGAAGAACGGATTAGGATGTCATCCGAAGAATCCAAGAAACTTTACAAAGGAAACGCGGTGGCAACGAAAAAGCCAAATGGTTCTTGCAACATTTGCAATAAACCAGGACATTGGGCCCGCGATTGTAGATCCAACCGAGGTAACAACACAAATCAATCAAAAAATTCCAGCACGCCACACGGAACCTCCAAAGCCGCAGTGAACACCATCACGTGTCAGTACTGTAAAAAACCGGGGCACACAAAAGATGTATGCCGGAAATTAAAATATGTTACCGGAAAAAGGAATGAAGCAGCTCAAGCAGAGACTTCGGAAAACCAAAATCAACCGGGCGCTTCCGGCGGACGTCCGGTAGGGAGCATAAAAAGCGCCGCCATATCATTTCCAGAATCTTCACATTAAAGTCAAATTTAACAGATAATACTTTTACATGCAGAACCTCTCAGACAATTAACCCCAATGCTAAATTTTTACTGGATTCAGGAAGTGATCTCAATCTAATTAAAATTTGTTCACTTTTGGATCAGGTAATGGTATACGAAGATACCATTTACTATTTAAAGGGCATCAACGAACAGTTAGTCCCAACATTAGGTCGGACGACTATAAGTATTCAAATTGGCGAGCGTATGATGCAAGTAGAATTTCAATTAGTACATTCCAACTTTCCCATTACACAAGATGGAATTTTAGGGAAACCCTTTATAATAGGGAACCATACGATTATTAATTATCAAACTAATGAATTGATAGTACCAGATACCGTTAACATGAAAATCCAAGCTCGAACAGAAACTTTGATCGCAATACCTATCACAGAATATCAAGAGGGTGAAACACTTTTAATCCCAGCTCAAAAGATTTCAGAGAATATCCTATGTAGCAATACGGTTAACCAAGTGCACCAGAATCAGATACTTATAGCGGTGATTAATCCCACGGAATCTTCAGTGGAACTTACCCAAGCACAAACGAAATCAATTTCTATTCATAAGTTTGATGAAGTTAATGTTTATGCAACTCAGAACATACCAGAAAAGTCCAGCGGACAAGGCCGTTTAGAAACCCTAAGGGAAAAATTAAATTTGGATCATCTAAACCAAGAAGAAAGAGAATCTCTTATGCCAATATGTGAGGAATACTCAAATATCTTCCATCTAGATGGAGATAAACTATCTTGCACTGACCAGATTTATCATGAAATCAAAACAAACGAGGCCGCACAACCGATTAATGTACGTCCATATCGGTTGCCTTTTAAGCATAGACAAGAAATTGACAGACAAATTCAGAAGCTTGAGGAGGACAACATTATTGCTCCGAGCAAAAGCCCTTGGAATGCGCCATTACTCGTAGTTCCCAAGAAGCCTGATGAAAACGGTGTCGTGAAGTATCGCGTGTGCGTGGACTTCAGAAAGTTAAACCAGATATCAACAGGAG